ACAACTCAGTGGGTCACCTGGATGGTACTCTGAGCCTCTAAATATCTGAGCTGTGGCCAAAGGTTATACTCTAGAAGGGGCAGAATGTGTGCAAGGGCAGAAGCTCCTCAATTTATTTATTATTATTATTATTATTTTATTATTTGGTTGTGGGGCCTGAACTCTGGGCCTGGGCGCTGACCCTTAGTTCTTCAGCTCGAGGCTAGTGCTCTACCACTTGAGCCACAGCGCCACTTCTGGCCTTTTCTGCTTATGTGATGCTGAGGAATGGAACCCAGGACCTCATGCATGCAAGGCAAGCAGTCTACCACTGAGCCACCTTCCCAGCCCAGAAGCTCCTCAGTTTTAAGAGTTGAGCTGGGCTCTGGTGGCTCACACCTATAATCTTAGCTACTCATAAGGCTGAGATCTGAGGACTGAAGTTTAAAGTCAATTAATGACCAGAAATCCAGAAGTAGAATTGTGGCCCAAGTGGTAGAGTTCTAGTCTTGAGCAAAAAAACCCTAAGAGACAGCACCCAGGCCCTGAATACAAGTCCCCAAGCCTGACAAGGAAGGAAGGAAGGAAGGAAGGAAGGAAGGAAGGAAGGAAGGAAGGAAGGAAGGAAGGAAGGAAGGGAGGGAGGGAGGGAGGAGAGAGAGTGGAGGGGAAAGGAAGGGAATGGGAAAGAAAAGAAGGAAGAAAGGGAAGAGAGAAAAGGGAAAGAAGGAAGGAAAGAAAGAAAAAAAGGAAGGAAAGAAGGAAGAATTGAAGCATGCCTCTTCCTTCCAGTGATCACAGCATCCTTAGGCCCTCTTCTTTCTCCTCAAGGTTGCTTTTTTTTTTTTAATTGTTACAGAAAGGGTGGCTGCCCTCATTAGCTTTTTTCAGAGTACCTGGAACAATCCCATCTAAATGGAGAAGGGAAAGAGAAGCTTCTACTTTTCTGTGCTCTGGCTGGAAAGGCCAGCGCAGACAAAAGTGAAGAGGAACTAGTGCTCCAATTCCCCCTCCCCAGCCCAGGCACCGCCCCTGCAGGAGGCTGAGTTGGGAGGTGGCTAATATTGTTCTGAACCTCTGAGTTGCACAACTGGCTTGTGCAGGGAACGTTGCAAAACTATCACCATCTGTGTGGTAGGGAAGTGGGGCCAGGGTGGAGGCAGCAGGAGCAGCTGCCAGAGGCTAAGCCTCCTGCCTGCTAGATGAGAAGGACACACACTTCGGACAGAGCTACAGCCACAGACTGCATATGCCATCTTCCTCCAGCAGCCCTGGGGATCAGGGGCCCCTGGTTCGGGCTATCTGTGGTTAGATGTTGTCAGAAAGCACTGCAGACAGCCCTGGCCTATCAATTTCATATGCTTGTGCATGTAGAAGAAGCCTTGGGCCTGGGGCCTGGGTGTTGAGCGCAGTCCCTGGGGTGGGGTGGGGGGTGAGGGACAGACATTGGTGGCACCTTACCTTTGCCATCTGGGCCTGTACACCGCTGGCTTTCAGGGCGGTTACAGCCTTTTGTGCTGCTGAAGGGCTGTCAAAATCCACAAAGCCATAGCCTGGAACAGGGAAACAGCACAAGGAGGGGGAGGTGTGAGCAAGGTAGGAGGCCCAGGCTTTTCAGGAGACAGAGGAAAAGTTAGAATCCATGTATGGGATGTGACAGGGAGAAAGAGAATTAGGGGGTTTCAGTGACTGTCTCTGCATGCCTCCCACTCTGAGCTTTGGTCCTCCTTCTGGCTAGGAATTCCAAGGGAACAAATGAAGTTCTGGTAGTATCTTTGCCTTTTTCCTTCTCCCTAAAAATCTGAGGTTTCAGGAACTAGGCCACCCTCCTCTTCTTCTTCCTCCTCCTCTTCTTTCTCCTCCTCTTTTGTCTTCTTTTTACTTCTTTATTTATTTTTTGGTCAGTCATGGGTTTGAACTCTGGTCCTGGGCACTGTCCCTGAGTTCTTCAGCTCAAGGCTAGTGCTCTACCATCTGAGCCACAGCACCACCTCCGGTTTTCTGGTAGTTTATTGGAGATAAGAGTCCTATGGACTCTCCTTCCTGGGCTGGCTTTGAACCGTGATCCTCAGATCTCAGCCTCCTGAGTAGTTAGGATTACAGGCATGAGCCACCGGTGCTCGGCCACTTGACTTATTTCCATTCAAGGCTGGGGCTCTACCACTTGAGCCACAGCTCAACTTCTTGCATTTTGCTGTTTAATTAGAGGTAAGAGTCTCAAGGGCTTTTCTGCCCAAGCTGGCTTTGAACTATGATCCTCAGATCTCAGCCACCTGAGTAATTAGGATTACTAGGCTTTCTGATACTCCACAGCCCCAGCCACCTCCATACTATTAAAAGAACCCTAGATATCTCTTCTATCTACACCCCAGAAGTGCTAGTCACACCAGGAACGCAGCCTTTCCAGGCAGATGACCAGACGCCCGCTGGAAGTAGTGCTTCCCACTGAACCTCAGTTCTTTCTTGGCCTCCCAGCCTCCCTGAGACCTGCTCGAAACTCTCATGCAACTGTGTCTTTGGAAAACATCACCTAGCGAGACATCTTTCCACTTCCACCAAAAGGTGTTTATATTGCTAGGTAGAAAGGATCTCCATCCCATCTACCACTTCCATCAACACTATTGGGAAGTGTGAGTTCTAAAGCCAGCCCAAGAGACTGAGCAACTCTGGGGCGGCTTCTGGCCTTGGGACTCCAACAGTATTTCCAGCTCAAGCCATCTGGTCACTAATGGATCTAAATACCTACTAGTATTTTAAGCCTGGAAACCTCAGCGCCTTCTCTCTGGCACCAGGTACTCAGACTCAGCAGCAAAGGACAGAGGGCAGCGATGTCCTCCCTCACCGGGGCTCCATCAGCAAGAGCAGCATCCTCTCACCTTTGCACTTGTTTGTGGTCTTGTCCAGGATGGCCTTCGTGGACACAATCTTGCCATATCTAAAAGAAGGAGAAGGAAAAGGATGATCTTGGGGAGAGACTAAGGATAGAATGCAGATGAACCATCTGGATCAATTCCAGGCCTGTCTCTGTTCACAGGCAGTCAATTTTTAGGCTTCCCCTAAGTAAATGACTGGAATCACAGGTGCACACCACTGCCCCCAGCTTGCTTCCCGGCACACAGATGGAGTCTCTCTCTATGGCTCTTTTGCCTGGCTGGCCTTGTACTTCGATCCTTACAAGCTCCACTTCCCAAGCAGTGTGGGATTACAGGCAGCCATGACACAGTGCAAAGCTATAGGCTGAGAAGGGATTTCAAGAACTTTTTGGCACAGGCTGGCCTTCAACCACGATACTTCTGATTTCAGTCTTCCAAATAGGTAGGATTGCAGGTCTGACCCATCAATGCTTGCCATTAGTTACTATATTTCTTGTAGTTACCTTTGGTTGATTAAAGTTATATTAAGGATGGTGTGGTGGATAATCTTGGTTGTCAACTTGATTGGATTGAGGGATGCCTCGATGATTAGCAGACCTCTGTTGTGTCAGTGAGGAAATTTCCAGAGAAGAGTAAGTGTGAATGAGTGTGAATGACAAAATAATCATCTAAAACCTGAAAAAGGCCAAAGAAGGTCTGCACATTTTTTCAGTGTCATGGTAGAACATTCCAAGAATAGACTCTTAGTAGGCAAGTGTGGCTCCAATATGAAGGCTGTTGGATCTGCTCAGGACGCAGCCTTCAGTCCCGCACCACAGATGCTTGCTTCATTTTCCCCAAAAGGCTTCCTGCCTTCTGCTGAAGAGATGCCACCTTTCCACAACTCTCCAATTTTCACTCCAGCATTTAAATTAAGCAATTAACTTTCACCTTGCTTTTGGGGGCACCATTAGCCTTTTGGGGATGCAGATTTTCACAAAATTAAAAGCAGAGCAGCACTAAGTAGATCACAAGGTTAGACCCAGTGAAAGTTTTTACACATTACCTGAGCTATGTGATATTTACTTGGGGAATTTAAAAGTTGTTTTGGGACTGGTACTGGTGGCTCACACTTGCAATCCTAACTGCTCAGGAGGCTGAAATCTGAGGATCCTGATTCAAAGCCAGCCTAGTCAGGAACACATCTGTGACATTTTTTTTGTTGGTCATAGGGCTTGAATCAGGGACTGGGCACTGTCCCTCAGCTCTTTTTGCTCAAGGCCAGCACTCTACCACTGGAGCCACAGTGCCACTTCTGGTTTTCTGGTGGTTAATTGGAGATAAGAGTATCAAGGACAGCCGGGCGCCGGTGGCTCATGCCTGTAATCCTAGCTACTCAGGAGGCTGAGATCTGAGGATCACGGTTCAAAGCCAGCCCGGGCAGGAAAGTCCGTGAGACTCTTATCTCCAATAAAAACCACTAGAAAACCGGAAGTGGCGCTGTGGCTCAAGTGGTAGAGTGCTTGCCTTGAGCTGAAGAGCTGAGGGACAGTGCCCAAGCCCAGAGTTCAACCCCATGACCGACAAAAAAAAAAAAGAGTATTAAGGACTTTCCTGCCAGGGCTGGCTTTGAACTGTGATCCTCAGGTCTCAGCCTCCTGAGTAGTTAGGATTACAGGCATGAGCCACCAGTGCCCAGCTTTGAGTTTTATTTCTTATATTTATACTGGGTCAAAATTGTATATAATGCATTCAAGAGTAAGGTGTGCTTACTTTATTTCATTTTCTTCATGTTTACTTGATTACTATCTACTCACTACACATTAAGACTCAGACTTGGTAAAGATACATGTTGACTTGTAGATTTTTGTTCAACACAAATGCAAATTGCTTCTCTTCATTGGAGAAACTAATCCCAGGCCTTGGTGGAGTTCAGTGACAGAGCACTCCTACAGTTCGTATAAGGCCCTGGGGGTCCAGGCTCAGCACCACACACAGACATACATACACCCAATTCCAAAGGCTGGTGGACATGAAGTAGTTTCTGTATCTATTCGCAATCTTCTTCCAACATTTTTTCGTCAGTGATTGAACCTGTTTCTTTCATCTTGCTGGTTGCCTCAGTGCTCCGCAATCTCTGACATCTGTCCTCTCTAAATTTGTGAGTCACGGTTTTCAACTTTTTGGAAATTCTGCTTTCATGCAAGCACAGCCTCCAAAACCTTGAGTAGTGGGGACTCCCGGGTGAGGGGTTAGATGAGAGGTGTTCCACCAGGAAAAAAAGTCTCCTCACTCCAGCAAGGGAGTGGGAACAGGAGGGAGAGGGGAGGGGGAAGATATTAAAGAGACAGAGCAGAAAACACTAACAAAGTCAAAAGTACAAGAGCTAACTGGAAACTGTTGGCAGGAACTGAATTTGAGACCAAGAACCCAAACAAGCATGTTTCCCCCCTCCCATCTTCTCCTCTTATCCCTCAAGGCCCTCGGCTGATTGATTTGTTTTTACTCCTTGGCAGTCTCTCACTGACTTTTTTAGTGGAGCTTCTGTGACCCAAAGGATTAGACAGCATAAACCAGGCAAAGGCCCAGCAGCTGGGAAAAGAGCACAAGAAAAGGAGGTGGGGTGGGGGTGGGGTAGATGTGGAGATCTTGGCCCTTCTGGCCTACATTCTTGGATTCCTTCCCAAATTTAGGCAAGAGGAGGGACTCAGGAGAAGTCTGACTGCAGGCCAGAGGACGAGCATGCTGCTATCCCCGTCAAGGCCCCAGGGTGGAGCTTGCTGTGGTCTAGCAGCCTGAGACTTGGAGCTCAGAATTTCCACTGCAGCTGGCAACAGCTGGGTGACTGCTGCTTCCTCCACCGAAGGAGCAACCCCTCCAAGAGAACCAGGAGCTCCAGGCCCAGACCTCGCCTCTTCTTCTGGTGCACCAGAGTTTAGGATCCAACAACATTTACTCCTCCCTCCTCTCCACACTACCTCTTCAGCCCCGGAAGAGACTACTGGGACAAAGGCAGGAAGTCCTTCTGCTCATGGAAATAACACCCTTCTTAGACTCTTAACTCACTGCTGGCCATCCAGCCTGCCTCCTCTCATCTGCTCACAAGCACCAAGCACCGCCAGCCTCCCTGCTACCAGCCTACTCCTCCACAGACAGTTTTTGGGCCTCCCTCCCTCCCTTCCTTCCTTCCCTTTCTCCATTCCTTCATTGCTCTCAGATGGACAAGGTAGAAGTCTCAAAAAGAAATCAAACTGAGTTTCTTCTCTACCCTATGGAGTGACAAGATTTTTTTTTTTAGTTAGTTAATTTTATGTTTATTGCAATAAATAGTAAGGAATTCAAAGATTGGTGTGAGGGGTAGGGGGTGGGGGTGGGGCTCATGCCTGTAATCAATCCTACCTACTCAGGAGGCTGAGATCTGAGGATTATGGTTTGAAGCTAACCTGATCAGGAAAGTCTATGAGATACTTATTTCCAATTTACTGCCAAATAAAGCAGGAAGTGGAGCTGTGGCTCAAGTGGTAGAGCATCAGCCTTGAGCAAGAAAGCTAAGTCAGAGCTCAAGGTGTTGAATTCAAGGCCCAGTACTGGCATGTGCATGTATATGTGCATTCATGTACAAGCACGTGTGCACGCATGCAACATACACACAAAGTTATAATAGATGATAACTGTACACAGTCCTTATTTCTACCTCTTTGCACTATTCAATACCTAGGCCCTGAATTTAAGCCCCAGGACTAGCGCGCGCGCACACACACACACACACACACACACATGTATATACATGTATATATAATATATGTATATATATATATGTGGTATATATAATAATATACATATCAACAACAAGATTGATTGATTGATTTTGCCACTCCTGGAACTTGAACTCTGGGCTTGGGTGCTATCTCTGAACTCCTTTTTGCTCAAGGCTAGCACTCTATCACTTTGAGCCACATTACCACTTCTAGTTTTCTGGTGGTTAATTGGAGATAGGAGTCTCACAAGCCAAGCCCAGTGGCCAAGCGCCTGTAATCTTAGCTACTCAGGAGGCTGAGATCTGAGGGTCTTGGTTCAAAGCCAGTCAAGGCAAGAAAGTCCAGTGAGACTCTTTTTTTTTGTTTTTTGTCCGTCGTGGGGCTTGAACTCTGGGCTTGGGCGCTGTCCCTCAGCTCTTCAAGGCAAGCGCTCTACCACTTGAGCTACAGCGCCACTTCCGGTTTTCTAGTGGTTTATTGGAGATAGGAGTCTCACGGTCTCTCCTGCCCGGGCTGGCTTTGAACCGCGATCCTCAGATCTCAGCCTCCTGAGTAGCTAGGATTATAGGCGTGAGCCACCAGCGCCCGGCTCCAGTGAGACTCTTATCTCCAATAAACCACTAGAAAACCAGAAATGGCCCTGTGGCTCAAGTGGTAGAGCACTAACCTTGAGCTGAAGGACAGTGCCCAGGCTCAGAGTTCAAGCCCCATGACCAAAAAAAAAAACAAAAAGAGTCTCAGACTTTCCTGCTAGGGCTGGCTTTGAACCTCCATCCTCAGATCTCAGCCTCCTAAGTAGCTATGATTACAGGCCTGAGCCACCGGCGCCCCTTTCAAGAATTTTTTTTTCTTTTTAAGGCAGATCTCACTGTATACCTGAGGCTGGCTTCAAATTTGTTACATAGCCCAAGCCAGCCTTAAACTCATGATCTCCCTGCCTCTGCCTCCCAAGTACTGAAATAACAGGTGCGCCACACCCAGCTCCGAATTCTTTGAAAGGGATAGGCTAAGGCATCTCATGGCATCTGTGGGTCGTAAGCACAGCACGAAGGCTTTCAGCAGAGCCTTTGTCCCTGGAAGCGAGTGTCCTGAAACTTACGGCTGACACAATCGAACAAGGTCCTGATCCGTAGTGCCTGGCTGCAGTCCCCGGATGTACAGGTTGGTTTTGCTCAGCTGCTCGTTCCCGTTATTCCCGCTGCTGCTGTTAGGAGTGCTGTTGCTCGGACTCGGAGGTGCCATCTGCTGAGCCAATGACACATATGGCTGCAGGAGACAGAGAACAGAAGGTCAGAGATTGTACATTTGGAGGCTAGACACGGGGGAAGTGCCTAGCTCCTGGCAAAAGATGACACCAAGTGTTAAAAGTAGTGACTCGACAGGAAAATAAGGAAATGAAAAAAGACAACTACAAGAACCCCTCTGGCATAGAGGAAGAAAATATGTAACTGTCTTACCTATCTGCCAGGCATAATGAGGCTAACAGAAACTTGTGAACGGTTTAGAAAAAAAGGAACTTGCCAGGCGCTGGTGGCTCATACCTGTAATCCTAGCTACTCAGGAGGCTGAGATCTGAGGATCACAGTTCAAAGCCAGCCTGGGCAGGAGTCCATGAGACTCTTAGCTCCAATTAATCACCAGATAACCAGAAGTAGTGCTGTGGTTCCCATGGTAGAGCGCTTGCCTTGAGCTGAAGAGCTCAGGGACAGCGCCCAGACCCAGAGTTCAAGACCCACAACCAACAACAACAACAAAAAAAAGGAATTTTGGCTTCAATGGACTGTTTTCACATAGGTGCTACAGAACACAATTGAATGTCTGACTCTTAAGTCCATGGTGGTGCTGGGCACCAGTGGCTCACACCTGTAATGCTAGCTAATCAGGAGGCAGAGAGGGCAGGAAAATTCATGAGACTGTTATCTCCAATAAACAATAAACTCAAAAAAGCGAGAAGAGGCACTGTGGCTTGAGTGGTAGAGTACTAGCCTTGAATAAAGGAACTTCAGGGACAGTGTCCAGGCCCAGAGTTCAAGCCCCAGCACTGGTTAAAAAAAAAAAATAGGAGCTGAGAAGGTGGTAGCGTGCTTGCCTTGCATGCCTGAGGCCCTGGGTTCGATTCCTCAGCACCACATAAGCAAAAAGAAAAAAGCCGGAAGTGGCGCTGTGGCTCAAGTGGTAGA